GTGGGAAGATTGTATTAAGGCTGGTCTGATCTGTTAGGGGATGGTTTTAGACGGCGGCCGTTAGAGGGAAGTTTGTAGATTGGTGTTGGCGGTATCGAAATTTCGGGTTCTTAAGCCTTTTCCTATTATTTATTTATATATCGCCCACATTGGAATACAAGTTTTGAAGAGAGAGTGAGAGAGAGAGAGGGATACTGAAGGGAGTTTCCTGCCAGCTTAATTAGCTACGGCCTTGAACCTTTATCTTACCCCCGCATCTTTTGACTTGGTAGAAATTAACTTGTGCGGCCCCTAGAAGCCGTACGCTCGCTTATCTCGTCCTTGTTCCTCGGGGATTGTTCTTACCTCCTCTCGCGTGCAGCCTCTCTCTCGCTTCGATGGCTAAGAGAAAAATCATCTAATTTCAGGGGATAGCAATTAACAGGATAAGGGCTGTAGTAACAGGACAGCAAAACATACCACTTCAAATTCTTATTCCATGGTACAGACAACTTTTTGTCAAATTATTAACATCCGGCTCAAACTTCGTAAATAGATTCATCTCGTCGTTACCTGCAAATATTTTATTTACGAAAATTCTCGGAATTCGGTCGTTTTCAATCCGGAGGTCGGAACTTTTTCTATTTAATTAGGTACTAGCGCTCTCTCTCAAACTTCACTGGCTATAGCACCAGGGACGCGGTTGAGAGAGTAGCGCAGGGATCTCTTGGAGTTGCTTTTCCTTCTATAATTGGAGGGAGAAGCCTGGCTTGGGGTTCCGCTCCTGATTGTATATATTATATATAGGTCTGACTGTGTTTTTATCTTTTTAATTTACTTATCTTTTGGTTATTTTATTTTTTATTGTACATAGTTTTTGATTATTATTCAGTTATTATGTTACTTTTGTTAATTTTATATTATCTGTATATATGGTGTGAATGTGTTCATATATCACTGTAATTATTATCCACTTGACAGATTGTTATATTTCTAAATAAATAAATTAAAAAGAAATTATGTACTAAAAACTCGTTAATATCCAGTTGCTTTCCACTTGAATTGAAAGATAACTTGAACACAAAGTCGACAAAAAAAGGTGGCCAAATTGTTGAGCCGTTTGACGTGACCTACACCACCAAATTGTCAAAATCACGAGGTTATATATGCCAAACGGCTCAATATTTTTGTAGGCCACCTTTATTATCGATTTTGTAATAATTATCTTGCGACGGTCTCGCAATTACACATTTACCAATTAAACTTGCTGTGCTATCGTCTATGTGTTTCTCTTGTCCCATGGTTAACACTTTTCATTCAGAAAATTCCACCCCGTCGAAATGTGGCCCCCTCAAAAACTATAATGGTGCAACTTACGCCATGAAATACCGTTCGTTCTGGGCACGCGTGCACAACACTATAGCAAATATCTTTATCATGTTCTCGGCATTGGTTTATCCGTTATAGTTTTTGTATATTGTTCTCTTTATAAAAATAAATATAACAAAATTGATTTTTTACTATGGTAGTAAAAGTTAAATTTGTGGTTTATTTATTAATGTAAGAAATTAAATCGCAGTAACAAAGAAAGTTTTGCTAGATAAAAACTTTGACAACCCTTTCAAAATCAGCACTCCGTCATGAACTCTGGAATCTGTTTATGTGTTATCTAATATCACCTCTATATACACAGGTATCACATATGTATATCATTTTTTTTCTATTGGAATTACAGACTATGTAGATCTTTTGCCGCCTAAACAAGCCTGCTCCATCTCTGCCTGTCTTGGACAATTTCTTTCCATTTATCTGCATTGGCCTTCCACGTGGTCTTTTGCCTTCTATTGATGCATTGATTGTTACGTAGAGGCTTCCAGATGGTTTGCTACGAGCTACATGCACCTTTATATATATATATATATATATATATATATATATATATATATACATAAAATATACCTATGTAATATCATATCACACAACTTTTACACGTGAAATAACTTACTTAATTTTCCATTAAAGCATCGACGCCTGACTGTCTTGTCTTAAACCATAATACCATTATTTATTAAGTTAGTTTTAAGCATCAGTGTTAATTTTATGCCAGTTTTAAGTAAAATATCTATTAAGTTCAGTGGGTCATGGTACAAGCATTTCTTTATTTTTTTTTTTCTTCTCCAAAACGTGGTACACTTATGGTTTATGAGGTCATAGAAACACTTAACATAATGGAGCATTGATAAGGCAGAACTGAATTCTTCAAAATGACTCACAGATGAGATAATTTATTATCAATGCTTAGTAAATAGGTCATCCGTTTTAGTTCCCGATAACCTAGTCGTGGCATGAAGACAATTCCAATCGTTTCTTGTTAGTCATGACGCTTCATTTAAATGGAATGGAATTTTTATAAATAAACAGACCTATATATGTCTCATTGTCAGCCTGTATTGATTTAGATGAAGGTCTTTGAATCATGATACATCACTGTCATTAGCTTTAATTAAACTTTTAGATTTACCATTTGTCAATTTTAAATTGATTTAATTACAATCTCAAATGCGATATTATCAAGATGATTAAAACTGAGGTATATAAAATTAAAGTTAAAAACTACAGATTTTTTTAACTATATCCGAATCCCCCTCCCTTGACTTTCTATACCCTTTTTAATTCTAGACCCTGTTCTGGTTATAAAAACGATCCTGTATTTATTAGTAACTGAATTTTAAATATTATCTTTGAACATAATACATGTTAATCTCTTCCTATGAAATGTATCTGATAACAATGTAATCAGAGCTTCTTCAGATGAATTCAGGAATAGTTCGATTGAATTGGTTGCACCATCAAAACCCCCTTCTGTTAAGCCTTCATTTTGAACATCTCCTTCAGGTGGGAATAATTGTCTCTTCCCCCGAAATTTGATGGGAAAATTTATGAAAGAAAAGAAACTTTGTTTGCGAATAACTCAAAAAGTATACATATTTTTTCGGATTGTAACCATGATTATTTTCTATTATAAATAAATTTTCTACAAAACAAATAAAAAATATACATTATCAAAATCGATTAGAATTATTTAATTTCTTATTATTTTGTTATTTTTTACGGATCAATATTTTTTTGCGAATTATTCACACTGGTCAACTAATGATTTATAATAAATAAAATGATTGTATGTATAAATATAATTTAAAGCACTTTCCTTCAACATGAAATATATACTTTTTTCAGTTTTTCTTCAGTAAATCTATTTCTGTGCATCTTAGGCAGAAACGTTAAGATCGTCGTCGACGTTTGCTTGAATAAGATCATGATTGTCATTACTCGACAACCCGGCATTCCTCAGGATTCCATTTACAGTCTGCGGAAGTAATCTTAAAACCAGCCGTAGCGATTCAGAACTTTTTTTTTGTGCTCGGGCAGGCTTATGTTGTGGTTGTGTAGTGATTAGAAGTTTACTGAAGAAAAATTATTGATATTTATTTGGTATTCTTAGATTAAACATAACACTAACCTTCTGAATTTTTACGATAACAGTCTGCCAACGGAAATCTTGACTGTAATGGTTTTTCAGTCACGGTGGTCTTTTTTCAGAAATAATCTGAATTGGCGCTCTCCGGCGATTAATACGACCTTGGTCTTTCCGATCTTCCTTGCTGATTTACCAATATTTTGTCATTAATCTTTGTGTTATCTATATTCTATTTATAAATGATCTATGTAATTTTGAAATCTTTTTTTTTTTTCAATTTTGCACATTGAAATAGACATTTAAAATTGTATGACACTTGAGCATTAAAATTCCACCTAAATATAAAAAAAAAAACAAAAAACGAACATGAATGTAATAAATAAATCCTTAAAAATGTAATGTTTTAAAGGAAATAATTTATATTTATATGCATATTGTCTCAATGTAAGTTAATTTATTGTTAAACGTTATTTGGTCAATATCATGATAATTATGATCAATACTATAATAATAAATGTATTACTTGATTCCACAAAATTTATGAATGCATCTTGGCATATTTTATAAATGTGTTCCGGGATTGACATAAACCAGAGATGGCCAAATGCTCCTTTAAACACTGAGCACCAAGTATTTTACTTAATACTGACCTTTTTTTAGTACCAAAGAATTGAATTACTACTTCAGTTGGTATCAAACGATTAACTGAAGCAGCGATTGAATTTCCAATTGTGATTCAATTTGAGTAAAATACTTGGTACTCAGAGTAACATCTGCCCATCTCTGACATGAATGCTTGGGAAATTAATTGTTTGCAGAAACCAACTTGTGAAGGCACTCCTGGTGCAACGTTCTTATAATGTAAATCCCTGTTGCAACGACGTTTAAATCTTCTTGTCGGATTCGGTGGTAGTATGTCTGTTAGAAATGTTTGTACAAGTGGTTTAAGATATCCAGGAAGTGAGTATAAAACTTATAGGAATACTTCTATTCTTTCTTTCACTGTTAATAATGTTTTATTTGAATGAAGCGTTAAGGTTAAAAATACATAATAAAGTAAACACTTTTTTATTAAGTTTCTCCACGTAAGAAGTCTCTTTTCTCGTGTGAGAAGTTTTGGGAACGAGGTATCCATGAATTCCCACTTGTTCCTATTCGAGTGTTAGCCCACCCCTCTCCTATTAAGAGGCACCCATTGTGTGGTTCTTTTAAGGGCCACTCCTTCTGGTAACATCCCAGCCACCTCTTCCCCATCCCATTTCTGTTTTATAATGGTTTGTTAATAATAACCGCATTACCTAAAATTACCTTCTTCTTGTTGCTACTAGAAAACAACTGAACTACAAAATTTATCCATTCCCCGCCTAGTTCATCTATAGTATGTTTTAATAATATAAAAGTTCATAATAATTTATATAACGAATCATAATTACGATACTTTGGGCTTCGAGATGATTTAACAAATTCTCCTGTCATAGCGCCCAACTGACTTTGTTTTGACATTTTTCTAGGCAATCTTCGAAATTTTATTAGATTGACCCATATGATAAAGTTTTTCCCACATTTTTGTGTAAAGTTAGATAATGTAAATATAAGTGGTTTTAGAAGACCTGGAAAACACGTACGTTTGCTTTTTATTTATTATATACTTACTGTTTTATTTCTAAAACGTAGAATTGGTTTTACACTGAAAAATATCATTGATATTTTGTTTTCACTTTTTGTATGGTAGTTCAAAATGTTTAAGTTCTGTTTGTTTTTTATATATGATACAATAGATCCTAGATTTTGACTACATGTGCGTGACACACTATTTTACAATATTGGTAACTTCCCTTGTATATTACTAATCTGGATAATGAAAATTAGAAAGAATCTGTTAACTCTAAATTGAGTGTGAGATAAATCAACTATAATCCTTTTCATTATTATTAAAGTGAAATGACACTGCAAGAGATCTTAAGATTAATGGAAGAACATGCTACTTGGTGTTTGATAAGGTACAGTAATAAATTATCAAAAACATGTGACTGTAAATAGTTCATTTTGTTATAAGCAGAGAAATATCATTAAATAGTATGAAGGTTACATTATACCAAGGTTATGATGTTCTTATTCCTTTACATTGAGGAAAATATGATGGTATATTGCAATTGAATAGAAGTTCAATCATAACTAATCGTTTAAAGTATTGTTGGTAGTTATGTAGATTAAAACAAAACTCGATATAGATTCCTATTTCTTGTTGCTGACTATATATAATAGAACTCCTTCTATTATTATCACAGGATTGGGTTATAAGCATTTTGATTTATAGATTTTATGTAAATTTGGCAATTCATTTCTATTTAATTGTAATCATCTCATCATCTCATTCTTTTTTAAATCTCAGTTATTCTTCTAGTAAAATTCGACTTGATAAATGACAATAGAATAATTCCTCTCGTCACTCGAATCTAGAGAGTAATTCACGCGATAAATCCCCATGGTTTCAGAAGTTTGCACCGATTTCAGGGTATAAAAGTTTTAAGCTGTGCTAAAAGTTAATTGGGAGGTAGCCGTGATGATTGATGAGAGGATTGTATCATTTTCAGAAATAATTATGCTTTTCATAACAATCTAGCATGAGAAATGGGTATAACGATAGCAGCAAAAGTCGTGCTTTCCTGAAGTTGGTAAACTTTTTTCAACGATGGCGATAAAGCCGGCTCTTTTCTACTTTAAGCACACCAGGGACGCTATCTTTTCCCCTTTTCACCTCTCTAACACGGCATGGCGTTAAGATACAATTTAAATATTAGCTCATTACAAATAGGATGAAATGCTGAACTCACAATATCCCGATCCGATTTTTAGTTTCTGAGATATTTCAATCCATATCTTCAATAAAACTCATTTTCAGTTGGTTTTAGACACTATTTTTATCTTTTCGCCCTTCTAACACGGTATCGCGTTAAGATACAATTTTCAGTAAAAACTCATTACAAAGAAGATAAAGTTCTGAGCATTTTCCTCATTTACAGAATGCAGGTCCAATTTTGGGTTTCCGAGATACTTTAATCCAAATGCAAAAACACTTCAAAATTTCACTGGAGTGCTTATAGTAGAAAAGAGCAAGAAAGCATTTATCTTTTATATGAATCCGTTAAGAAATAAAAATCAACCATCACTGCTTGTTTCGGATCTCTTGAAGAATTGTTGCCTCATATACCTGATATTATTATTCTATTTTATTCTTAATATTATTTTTAATCTCCTTTTCAATTTAAACTGGTGAATTGCAACCTTTTTTTTTCAATTCGTGCATTGCCAGATCCTATGTATTTATATTTTATATTGGCACCAATCTTTGTGCGGGCTAGACTGTAGAGGTAAGGCCATGTGTCGACCACCTGTCTTACCTCTAGGAACATCACCTGCCCAACAAACCTCTCAGATGACCTTTCTATTGTACTCATGTCTTTGTGTAGTCGTAGTATCCAACGCTCGCACCGTCTTCTATTTTAATTTCGTTATTCCAATCTATTCGTATTGTGATAAACTTTGATTATTTTGCCACTAATTTTACCAGTCGAATCTCAATTTATTTCATAACGGTAAATTATTTAATCTAAAAATTAAACTTTATAATTTTAATTGGACGGCATTTAACAGAAGGGAACAATCCGCATTGCACATGTTCAAAGTAAACTAAAGTCAAAGGTAAATGACCTTGCAACATCTGGAAACTTTCAAATGAGTGTATTTCTTTCCTTATTGTAAACCTTATTTTATTTTACATTTTATCCACCACAAAATATTTTTGTTTTACAAATTGATTAATTAAATATTAACTTTATTGTAGTTTGGTCTTCTTTATTTTATATTTACTTAGTATTTCTAAAAGATGTTTTTTGTCGGTACGCCACAACTTCGCCAATTCTTCATCAAATCCAATGATTTACCACTCATTTTGATGATATTTTCTCCTTCACATGCGAAAAATATTCATATCCTCCTGAAGTTTCTGGGAAAAAGGTTATTAAGGAAAAGAAACGTTATTTGCGAAGAACTTAAAAAAATATGCCTTTTTCCTTGATTGTACTCATGATTATAAGAAAGATTATTAAATTACCTGAAAAAAAAATCGTAAAAGTCGGATAATTGTTAACAAAGATACAGTTCATTAGATTTGGTATACTTAATAATTTCTTCCTCTTTAAAGATACTGCATTTCTATTCTACTATCCTTTTTTTTTTTTTTGGCTGATATATATTTTATTATTTCTTAAACCATTTTTTCGTTTGTACATTTTATATTTTTCAATAATATAGAAAATCTCATGATCGAGACTTTATTTTGAATATTACTTTTCCAGTCAGTCTTTTAAAATAGACATCTGTACATATATTAGAAAATTTAATCAATAATTTCATTTTCAATTATAATTAGGCAATAGACGTGCATATAGATGTAAACCTTAATATTGAATTTTCTGAAATAATTTACACTAGCAAAGTAATTTGTACAAATATTTTGGTTTATTGTGTTAAATGAAATATTGTAATCGACAAATTAAAAACAATTAATTCCTTCTTCACATAACACATAAGATCTATTTGTTTCCATATTATTTTGATATTCATTATAATAATAAAAAAATGATTAGCGATCCCTAAGGTTCGATGCCGGCACCACCAATCCATGGTTTCCTATTCCTTCGCTAAACAACATTGTCTGCGAATTTTTCGCACGGTCCAAATAGTTTTATTTATTTTTTATGTTTTGAATATTCTATTTTATGTATTTTTTCCAACTTCTAGTTTCCATTTAAGATACCTGAATCAAGAGGTGATTCTTGTCTGTCGAAAATAGTAAGCACCAATCCCATTCGAAAACATCTCTACCCATTTTACACATTTTATGGACCAGTTCCATTCTGCTAAATGCCTTCCATTTGTGAATATATTAAATAAAATTAAGTAGTCGACTTTTGAATATTAATGATGAAACAAAATTGTCAGGAAATTCAGTTAAAATTCCTTTAATCTGTTAGCCATCGCCCAAACATGTGGGTCGTCTAGGGCTAAATAATACAAAATATCAATTAACATGAGAGAAATAATAAATATAAAAGCGTAAGAGTGATAATATTACTGTTATAATAATAACAGTTACAAAATAATAGTAATAAGCTCAAATAAGTGAGATAATGGCAATAAGAGCAAAGAATAAAATTAGAAAAATGATTAATGTATAAGTATAAGGAAAGTTTGTAATTGTTGTATATTATTGTTATTCTTATGTAACCATTGTCTCATTTATATGTTTCACCTTTAACTTCCCTCATACTTTTACATTTATCATTTTTTGTAATTTTATTTTTTATTCTTATTACTATCATCTTGTTACTGTTGTTCTTCAGTATTATTACTCTTACACTTTTGAAATTATTATTCCTCTGATGTTGTTTGATATTTTGTATTATTTAGCTTTGATGATGACCCACGTGTCGAAACGTCGGTTAACTGATAAAAGAATTTTTGTCCGAATTTCCTGACAACTTTGTTTCATCCATATCAAATAAAGACTCATTACACCAAGTGACATCTGTGAAGTCTGTTTACCTACCTACACTCACCTACGGCGGAGAAAGCTGGACAATGCTAGACAGGCACTCTAGTCGCATAACGGCAGCAGAAATGAGGTTCCTTCGCAGATCTGTTGGCAGAACTAGAAGGGATCGCATTAGGAATGAAAGCATTAGAGAGCAGCTAGGAGTTGCCGAACTTAAAACTACTTTAGAAAGACGGCAACTCCAGTGGTTTGGACACGTCTGCCGCATGAATGAGAATTTGAATCCTATAAGGATATTAGATGCTCGACCCACAGGAAGGAGACCACGTGGACGCCCCAGACTCACGTTCCAGGATTACATTCAAAGGATTGGATGTAAAAGAGGCAAAACCCTTAATGAGATGAAGCTACTAAGCAGGGACCGGGAAGAGTGGCTGCACTGGTTGAGGCTCCTCGACGCTAATTAATGGCATAAGAGGAAGACAAAGAAGAAGAATTCTTATTACTATCATCTTGTTACTGTTGTTCTTCAGTATTATTACTCTTACACTTTTGAAATTATTATTCCTCTGATGTTGTTTGATATTTTGTATTATTTAGCTCTGATGATGACCCACGTGTCGAAACGTAGGTTAACTGATAAAAGAATTTTTGTCCGAATTTCCTGACAACTTTGTTTCATCCATATCAAATAAAGACTCATTATACCAAGTGACATCTTCGGTAATAAAAGTAATCTTAACCTACATTTTTTTCCAATAATTAGATATATAATTTTTTAAATATTTAAAACGTTTGCATGTTTTTTTAGTAAAAGGAGTATATTTTAAAAGTAGTCACATTTTATTAAAAAACTATACTTAGGGTGAATTTCTAAAAACACCGTTTAATATAATATATCAATGGTATAAGTAATCTCTAAATATTTAATTCTATAAAACTTATTTATTTTTTTAGGTGAATATTTATGATAACGAAAAAATTCTATAAATTTCTACTTACGGATGTATGAAGCATCCGTTATCGTATTAATATAAATTGATGTTTTAAACTTTTCAGAGAATGGGAAGGTATTTGTTCAATATTTGTCTATTTCGATCACCAAATCAACAGAATATAATTACTCTTATCATTTAATTTAATTTTAATGTTTGAACTCGTGGAGCATTCGAGACTTCTAACTGTTTGAAAAACTCGCGCATTTTCAAAATTAACATACAAAATTATAACGTATTAGATCTTTAGAGTTTTAGTCCAAAAATGGGATGTTTTCGTTCTAGATATCTGGTACCGCATGATTTATTGGTTGGAACAGTGTTATTGAAAAATATATTCGAAGATTCTGTTTTAACATTGTTTTAGTTCTAATTTAAATTTAAATTATAATATGGTTAATAATTAAAATCTATACGTTCCGAAAAATATCCTTTACTTTATGACCTAATGGCGTTACACTCTAATAATAATATTAATTCATAAGTTATTTTTTTTCGTGGTTGGTTCGCCAAATGATTCTCTTGCTCAAGTTTAATACCTTACAAATGCATGTAATGGTCCTGAATTTTAAACGCTTCTATTATAATCTCCTATCTGTGCTAGTGGCATAACTCAAAGAAACTCTAAAATTAGATGAACTATGTTTATGTAATGTACACTAATAAGTCGACTTCTCGCCCTTAGTTTTTGCATTTACCCACTGTCTGTTAAATAGAAGTTTTCACTTAAAAAATGAATAAATTATATTTTTTTAAATAACTAGGACAAAATTTTTTGAGTAGAAGTAAATGTTTATAAATTCTTTCAGAAAATTCAATATTAAGGTTTACATCTATCTGCACGTCTATTGCCTTATTATAATTGAAAATGAAATTGTTGATTAAATTTTCTAATATATGTACAAATACCCGTTTCAATTTTTTTTAATAAAATAAGGTAGATGCATTTGAGTTCGTATTATTAACTATTTTGCTAATTACTATTTGAATAAATAATTTCCTATTGTCTCTTCATGTAAAAAAGAAAATGCACCCAGGCTTGAACCTCCGCCTAGGTCATGAGGTTACTGGAGCCCTTTCACGGCCAAATCGATTGAGCTCTTGCTCCTCTGGAGCGAACCCTAGTGTTGAGGGCAATTAGGGAAGATTGCATTCACATGTAGCACCGGTTCGCCGCTTTATATTAATGTCCATAAATATTTATTTGAATTGGTTGTTATGGTTCATATTTATTTATATGTATTTCTATAAGAGAGCCTGCATTGAAATATTTGTTGTAAATATATTTATAAATGTACTCATGCTCTAGTAAATTATTATTTTTTTTTTAAATTTTATTGAAGGTTGTTTTTAGTGGTAATCAAATGAATAAGAAAACTGATTTATTTTACCGTCTTTAGTGTATTTAATTTAAACATATCAGTGACATAACATAAGAATGGGCAACTACTACATTTTTCATATTCCAAAAATACAATACAAATACAACAAAGTCAACAATTATTTTTATTTTTTTTCGAGGATCTTATTTGAATCAAGGTTCAAGGAACGTTCCTTTGTTTATGAAAGGAACGTTTTTATAATGATTACGAGTATGCCAATGCTACTAACAACTTCCTGAAAATGATTCTTGGTCCAAATAATCGTATATATTTTTATTAATCGACCTTTATATATTATAACTTTTGTTTGTTGTACCAATGATAGGTATTGTTTTTTCAGAACTGAAGAGAATCCCATTATTTATTTTATAAAACGGTGTCGAAACGTTTTGAGTAAAAAGAATAAACAGGAGCTGTTTTAGTTTATTGATTTAATAACCTATTATCCGACTATAATTACTATCTTAAGTTATTATATATACATACCTACATTTTATTTATTTTTACTTACATCACCAATTGATTGTTCAATTAATAAGTAACTTCAGATCTAAATAATTGACTAACATAAGTTGTATTTGATTTTTATGTTGCTATATTTTGGTTTCACCAAGGCTTAAGTTCGATCTCACGATTATTACTGGAAATTCAGAGGATGAATTCGTGGTGTACTAAGTTAAGACCACCCATTTTGTTTTTCCATAACAGTTCGATATTACCTAAAGATATTTACAAATATAATGGTACGTTGAAAGGTTTTAACATAATCATCTAATGTACGTATAAATTGTAAATATTTTAACCTAATTTTGAGGGCTAGATAAAATACAAATGTCAGTCTCCACTTGAAAGAAAATCACATGAATTCGACTTGAGGCTACCAACTAATCGTGATGAAAAAGTAGATTCCCATTTCTCAATTTTTTTCTAAAATTATTCAATCGTTAAAGTGTTAGTCGATTAAAAAATGCTACTTTTAATATTTTATAGAACGTAATTAATATTTATTGTCAAATCTAATAAAGATTTCTGCTGTCCATGTTCTATCTCTTTGCAGAATATTGCATGGCGTAAAACTATAAGTCGTTATGTCTTACCAGATATGCCCAAGATATGGAGAATCAAATAGTTGGAAATCGATATGAATGAAATAAATATCATAATCAATTAAGAAGCTTTAAGATGCGGTAAGTATGGCTTACATCTTTAGTTAGTTTTATTTCATGGGCAAAAAACCCATTGGCTGGTTGGCCATGATTATACTTTTTCCCCAATATTACCCAAATAAATACTTTTTAGTTTTAAATCAAAATAAATTATATTTTATTTATTATATTCTCTGTGTCTGAATTTCGATTTTGCTCTCTCAAGAAAACTGCAATTATTACGTACGTCCTTAACAATTCATTCTTAACAATATCTTATTTTTAAAAAAACTTTTCAGATTTTTTTTTTTAATCTAGATTTGATCAATTTCATCAACATAAAATTTCTACAATTTATGCTTGATACTCAAATCAGCTTATAATAGTTAAATATTATATCTTATATCAGTTCTATTATTAAAAAGGATCTTGTGTTACTGAAATAGATGCATTTGATTTAAGAATAGACCCGTGAACGATGACCTCTGTAGTATCGATAATAAATGGTGAGCTATGCTAAGGGTTCCTTTAGAAATTAGCTCTACCAGATTTATTTTTTCAAACTTGCCCTTAAGAAAAGACGATGATTCAGTTCTTATATCGTTAGGTTTCTAATTTATTTAATGAGAAGGAATTGATCGGAGGGTGCGGTCTAATAAATACTAAATTATAGAAGTAGTATTGTTTAATTATAATGCCGACGTTTCTACCCACCTTGCAGATCTTCATCAGGGCTACAAAAGATACAAAATATAAATGATAACAGGTAAAAATAAAATAAATTAATAATATGTAGATATCAAATAAGAATATATCTACTTATCCACCTTCTTTTGTAGCCCTGATGAAGACCTGCAAGGTAGGTCGAAACGTTGGCGTTATAATTAAATAATACTATTTCTATAATTTATTATTTATTTGACCGCCCCCTCCCTCCACCCCCTCCCGATCAACTCCTTCTCTTACTATATCACGGTCAACCATCTCTACCTCATTAATTTATTTAAATTATGCTTTTTTTCGAAATTAAATAATTATTTTTTAAGATACTGTAAGGCAATGCCCGGATTGGAATCGTACAGGATTTTTTTTATTGGTTTTGCTACTAAGCTGTTAAGCAACGTAAATGAAAATTATTGTTTTCAATATTCTCTTGCATTGATGGGTATATCGATGGCAATTTTGCTGCAAATGCTGCAAATTTATATTTATAATGATCCGAATGAATGAAGTAAATTTCATTTTTCACATTTACAAAGAAATACAAATTTTGATATAGAAATAAATTTACAAAAAAGCTATGGAAGACCCATCGGCTTGAGTGACAGATTAAATAACAATTGCTTTTGGTATATATATATATATATATATATATATATATATATGTATGTATATAAATATTTTTTAAGGAAATGACAATATATCAATAGATATCAAAAAAAAAATACATAATATAAAAATCAGTAAAAAAACATAACTTAACATCAGTGCCTCAAATCTAACAGTAATATTTAAATGTCGTACCCCTTTTAACATAATTGTAAAGTAAATTGTAGTTCTTTCCATTCAACAATAACTGGTTTTTTCTCTGCCTGAATAATCTCTTGAACATTGCGCAGCATAACTTTTTTAATGAAAATTTTAGTTTTACATTTTCAGTTACGAAAGTCCAAATAGAATATTTAAGCTGTATATGTTTTATTTCCGAAGTTGCATTACATTAAGCGGAAGTGACTTGGGCTGAAAGTCTACACCGGAGGATGTCAGAGGGAGGAAGTCTACCAACTGCCCAACGTGGGAAAATTATCCCTTCTCACTTCGATAACTCCTGTAATGTTCTTCTGAGACATCTTTAATGTTGTTATTTTTTACCTTTTTTTTATTCATGTACACCATGAATATTTTTATTTATTTACATCGATTTGGTAGAGTTTTAACTCTATAGAGAGAGATTCTTTAATACAATATACTTTTCGACCATGCCCCTCATATTACAATCGCAAATATAAACTGTTACAATAGTCTTAAATAATCAAAAAATAAATTAAAATAAAATAAAAAAAATATTTGGTAACATAGGATAATTTTTAGTCTCTATATAGATGTATGTGGGCCGGCTATCAAGGATTGATTGCACAAACATTTTTAATAAAATTAATAATTTACACTGAATAAGCGAATTCTGCAAACTGACTGAATAAACAGGTATATTTTCTTAAATTTGTCATGGATATGAAATGCACAAAATTTTACCATCATCTAAATATATAGTGAGTACTCCATGTATAAACAGTTTATCATTCAAAATTCAAAGTGTGCTATGAACGATTAACTAGATTAAATATTCTATTTCCAATACCTAAAAAATTATATTATTTTCGAGGATTTCTGATATTTTTATGTCAACTTTTTTCTCTTTCTCTTAATATTTTCTTCGTGATTTTTACCAGATTTTTCAAATTTGGACTGCTCTCCACAGCTCTTATAAATGTTAAAGACTATTTAAATGTGCGCCTATTTGTTGTCTCAACGTTTTTCTCTCATCCCTGATATTATATTCTCGATTTTTCAATATTTTTCTGTTTTTTTTTTTTTTCACCATTTTTCAAAATAAAGTTAGAGGGCTTAAAATTTTCTTGTAAATTGACTCGACTTGTTAAAGAAGTACCTATTTAGAGTTAATTTTTTTTTATCATGGATTTTTAAATTTTATTAAATTTCCTCAGCCAAACACTAATAAAATAATAACATCAATGACTTAGCTATGCTGGTTAGGTTTGTTTTTTAACAATTAAGTTGAGTAGTCAAGGAGAAAAGGGGATGAAAAAAAAGAAAAAAGTTTTCTTTTCTAATTATTTATTATTAATAATACTGCCTATACGATAGTTCCACATTCACGAATGAAATTAAATATTTTATTGATCAGAAGTTTTTTTTTTTAAATTGTTGATTTAAATGTTCGTATTCTTTTAAAAATGAGGGTAGAAATAGTAGCTGTAACTACAGATGACAATTTTGACTTGAAAAATTGCAATTTTCGACTCGTGGACTCCAAAATTTGTGGGATATGTAAACCTTTTTGTTTTGTGCTCGGTTACGAAAATAACCTTCAATCCGGCGCTGAGATAAGGTTGCAACTGTTGTATGTCCTGCTCACTCATTTGTTCTTATTTTCTCTCACATACATATATTATCGTTTATAAACACTATTAGCTTATCTTGCGAAGTACTTCTTTTAGTTTGTGTTGTTCCTTTAAAGCCTAACTAGCTCTGATAAAGCCACTAAGACGTTCCATGGAAGGTGTGATAATGAAGTTGCGTTATCTCGCCTGGATAACAGTTCTTTCGAGGAAGTACTTATCCCGCCCGCTTGCTGTGAAGTTCATCTCCAGTCCCTAGGCCCATCCTTGGAACTATCTCTGGGTTCCTCCAGTGAGCGGATGTTTGTTTTTCTGCTACATCAAACGATGTCGTGCCTCTGGTAGCCGAGTTAATTGTGTGTCTTGATGACTATATTTTTTGTTTTGTGTCTTCATAACTTGATCATAAATGCTTTTATAATGTTAATTAATATTTGGTATAATATTAAGTTTTGACTGTAGGCATTTTTTGCATGTCTAGTGTATTTTAATAAAAATTTGAACTCAAAAATAAATCTATCAAAACGTATATTTAAATTTGACGGGGACGGTATTAATAGATAGATGAAGAAGTATTTTCAATTAAACATAAATTGCGTTTTTATTTGAAATAAAATACTAATAAAATAAAAAAAAACATATAAATAATTCGATCATTATACTTCTAATGACCCTTAACAAGATTAATTGGTCTGGGTATATTCCAGGCGCCTCAACGTCGAAATTCTTTGTTTGATTAAAAATATTCTGACCTAGTTATCATTAATATTCTTAAACAATAAATTGGACCCTACTCAAAAACATCACATTTGGTCAAATTAATATGGTTGTGGTTCAGTCTTAGCATGCAATGTTAAATGACGAAATATGACGTGAGGCAGTGCTTATTTATTTACGTTGTTTTATTGATCATAAAAATATCTTATTTTTATTGTTAAATCTATTATATCCGGGTATTTCAACAAAAATGTCCTAATCGAAAGTATGAATTAAGGATCTCAAAATATAAAAAATATTTCCTATCAAGATTTGTATGTTAATGTTTCTTTTTTTCATTTTTTTTTTTCTCCCCAGTTTCATAAAGGTTTGTTTCTTTTACATAGTTAACATATTCCTTGTATTGTATCTTTGATACTTTTTAAGGTCTTCCTGAGCCTTTCTTAGTTTTGTTTATATTTATTTCTGGATTTTCAATCTGGGTGATGGGCTCACCTCTTATCTTGATAATTTTCTTTGGACTATCTTGTAATCTAACTTACAGCTATATTTTGCCATCGCCGAGGAGATGGCGGAAATGTTATTGTATTGAATTCTGCATTTGTTAAATATTTTAAAGGATCGCAGAATTTTATTATTCTTTTGTTTATGAATTCAGATACGGTGGGTAAATTTAAGGTGTGAAGTTTATCTGATTTTTGTTTTTCAAATGACGTATTTTTAGCTATTCTCATTACAATTTCATTTTGGAATCGTTGAAGTCTCTTGTTAGTGTTTTCGGAAATGTGGGACAATAGAGGAGCACCATAGAAAAGGGAAGGGCGAAGAATGCTTTTGTAGATGATTAATTTTAATCTGAGATTGAGGTTTGATGTTGTGAGGTGTACGTTTTTTTAAATAAGATATTCAAGTTTAAAGATTTAAATTTATATGAATTAATTGGGTTTCAATAAATAAAATAATACACCAACTACTTTATTTATGAAATATAAACATTAATATTCATATGGAATGCTGTTCAAAGTGATTACCTTAAGCATTAAGACAAACTCGTCATCTTTCTTAAGGCACAATTCCACTTTTAGTCATTTAGGCAACCTTCAGGCATTGCAATAATTCTCCCGAATTATGAAATAATAAAATCGCCGAATAAAAAGGTATAAGAATTA